AGTATTTCAGTCTCGGACGACCATTGATGTTTCTATGCTCGAGAGTTCATGCCCACTCTATAGACACGGCTCAAGCAGCAGACACATCGCTGCCTCAGAACGGAATGCATGCTGGGAAGCTCTGAACTTTTGTGTGCGATTTTTCCCTCCAGGTGATATCCAATATACGCCTCAGGCATCTCCATTGAAAGCAATTAAGACCCCCATTTTTTAATGTGAATATGCTTACTACCGTATAAGAGCGTGCATATGACACAGGTTCTATTGTTGTGTGGGCTGCAATTGTCCCACATTCTAGCCAAGTCATTTTCAAAAGATAGTGGCCGCACGTGATATACAGCGTGGTGCATTTTTATAAGCCCAACTTATGAAACTTTATTTTATCTGATTTGCCGGTATATTATGTTTTATTTATAATAATGTTCGCCAACTACAAGGCTCAAGAGCCACTCAAGGCAAAGATTACTGTGTGGCGTTGTAAGAGATGGCAAAAACAGAAGTTTGTGAGGTTATGTAGGAAAGATAACGGTTAATCCTTGACTTGAAGATTGTCAAGATCGTCGGATCAGGAAAGTATTCTATCAGGAGTCTGTTTCACAAAGCAGCAGTTTTGGAGTAAAAACTGTCAGAATGGAACTTCTTTTTACTAATGGAATACAAAAGAGATGAGGATGATTCGGCCCTGTGTACATGATAAGGCGGGTCCCAACTGCAAACGTCCGGGTTGTTGGAAGGAAGAAATGTAGCTGATCAGAACTCTTCTATCAAATTAGCGGTGGAATAGCGAGAGGCTCATAAAGTGCTATAAAATTATTCTGCAGGTAATTGTTTTGAAAAGTACCTTAACTTAGATGTTTTTACTAAAAAAGGACCAAAACAGCTGTTGCAAAATTATTATCATTGGTATTTTTTTTTAAAGTACTTTCTAAAACATAAAAAAAACTATTTTCAAGTCAGCTAAATTCAACCTTCATAAATTAAAGGTTTATATGTACGCTACTGCATTTACTAAATCAATATATCCTGAAAATGATCTGCTTTATTTTATTGCGAAAACATTGACTTATAAAAGCGGATACAGTGAACTTCAAGATTAAATTAAAGTTTACTTGTTTGAGATGGATTTATTTTGATTTCTTCAATGAAAATGGAATAATCTGATTTGAGATTGATCCGTAAGATTTTATCTCGGATTGACCTTAAGCTTATTCGAACTTTTCTTTAAAACGTTTGATTAAATCTTTCGTTGTCTACCAATTTGATTTACAGATTTACACGCATTTCAAGCGACGGTATCGAGATAATCTAGTTTTCTCTTTGAAAGCATTTTTGTCTTGACTTCAACTGTATAAGAATGCGTTTGAAAATTCTATAGCCTTTCTCAGCCGTCGATCAATTCCTGTAAACAAATTCTGTAGCATGTGGCCTGCTTTTCTTTTAAAGCCAGTCAAAAGCACTGGCATAATAGAGTAACCTTTGAATTATCAACAGTTTACGTCGACAACTGCATTGAAATTGACAGGTTAACACATACGGCTTAATAGTAAGGCTGTGAAATACTGATCGATAACGACTTCACCATCTGAAACGATGAGGCAAAAAGCAAAGAAATTCTGTTTTGGAAATTGAAAGCATTTAATATGTCTTTAGCATTAATGACCCTAGCAGAAAACATGGTCGAACATTTCTAAAACTATTTAATTTCTTGTATATGTCGTCTCCCTTCAGGACGGTGATAATGGCCGTCACAACTTTCTCTCCTTTTTACGACTAAGGGATATTTGACTTACTTACTGCCGCCCTCCTTGTTTCTGTTCTGCTATCTCTTTACACGTGCTTGTGGTGTATAAAAAGAGGTTATCTGCTCTTGAGAAAAAAGGAAAGAAACACAAAAATGGTGGCAACCCATGAGATTGCAGTATCATCTGCACAATTGGACCTGGATTACACAGTAATTAACCACCAAACGGTTTGGAAGGGCCGGATAGAAACAATGGAAATGTATTTCATGGCACTGAATATAAGAGTAACGAAACAAAAAGAGCATTTCTTCTTTACCAGGGTGGGTTTGAACTAAGGAAATTAACAAAACGTTGGATGATTAGTGTTGTAATCTAGCGAAGGTTACTGAATAGAAAGGTTTCAAATGAACGATAATACTTAGGACAAGAACAACACATATAAGATTCGCCAGCGGCGCGTAGAAGTAGTAGTCAACTGCTAGAAGTGAATCAAGTGAATTTCACAATGAATCTTCAATTGCAGGATATCTACAACCTACCCACGCGGTCAGATGTGGCACAAAGCCGAATTTAATGTGGGGTATCTGATCCCGTAGGCCAAAAATTCCCCGTAGACAGCGTATAAAACGGGGTCGAGTAGCTGTTTCCCGCGAGGAGACTCTGCCATTCGACATAGCCTTGTCTGGGGATCCTCTCTGCCCCGAGGCAGAGAGTTTGACCAGTACAGCTGGAGATGAATCTCCCACTGCAGACGGTATCTTCCAACTGCCCCACGTAGTCAGATGTGGCACATGGCCGAATTTAACGTGGGGTTCCCGAGCCCGTAGCTCAACCAAAAATTCCCCGCAGATCCGATATCAAACGGGGTCGGGTAGGTGTTTCCCGAGACAAAACTCTGCCCTTCGACATAGCCCCATCTGATCCATCTGATGCTCTCTGCCCGGAGAGAGAGAGAGAGAGAGAGAGAGAGAGAGAGAGAGAGAGAGAGAGAGAGAGAGAGAGCTAGCTTAACCAGCCCAGCTGAAGATGAATCTCCAACTGCAGACCAACATACAGTATTTACTAGTATATTTATGTCAATGGGGACATACCCATTGCTACAACAATTAGGTATGTTACTCGCTGTTTCCTTCTGTTCCTGTTAGAGTCAGATTCTTCAAACGCCCTTTCTTCATTATGTCTCACAGAAATTTCAACTGTCTCTGATGCTAAGCAAAAGTGCCTTTTTGTTCCCATTTCTTTAAAACTTCTTCCTTGCTCACATGTTATGTCCATGGTATTCTCCGTATTCTCCTGTAGAACCTCCTCTCCGTTGCTTTAAGTCTCTTCTACATCTTTGAGGAAATTGTCCAGCATTCACTACCATAAAGGAGGATTGATATTGCATAACACTTGAGCACTGTTATATCTTAATTTTTCTTATTTAAGAAATGTCTGTCCCGATGTATTCATACATTCTTTGTCTTAATAACTAGTCGTATTAACACGTGTATTTTATTGACTAGAAACTTTGAATCGATGACTGAATCCGTGGACCCTGGTGACAAGGCCATTTTTAAGACTATAATTTTTTGTAACACGCTGACATGTGTTGAAATACTCGCCGTATTTAGTATTGTTGAAGTTATCGTTAACATTTTTGCCGAGACTTACAAACTCTACTTTTTATTTAATTTCGCAAACCAATCGATGAAATTTTTGACAAAAACTCTACTTTGCGGTTTAATAATTTCTTTAATTTAATTTAATTTTATAGGATTTCATGGTAAACAATATTTTTTAAGAACATTTCTTTTTTTCCCCTTTTTAACAGCGAAAAATAAATTCTTAGGATTTCTTACTCTTGAGCATGCAACATGCGTAAATATTTCTTTTTGGAATCAAATTTCAACTTTATTTAATCGTTTGGCCATGTTTATAGTTCTCGTAAACATACGGCGAACTGGAAACTGGATTATTGTATAAAATAAGTATTTGTTATTTTAATCATTACATTGTTTTTAAAATAGTGGGTGTATTTTTTATGTTAAATAATGAAACTTTCAATTTTTCCAAAAAATGAATGGAAATTTATTGTACTAATCTACGCATCATAGTAAAACCAATTGTACTTTGTAACTAACCAGGAGGCACGGTGGAATAATGGATAGCGTCGTGGATTGAGGAATCGGAGAGCTGAGTTCGAATTCCAGTCCAATCCATTACATTCACTTACATGCTAATACACTTGGGAAAGGTATGAATCCTCTTCTTCTCTCCCCAGCGGATTCTGGATGGCAACTGGTCTACCGCAGAAAGAAATGGCAACCTACTGCGGAAAAAATCTGCCTCGTCAGTCATGTATCTAAAGATGCATCATCGCCTAAGCGTGTATCACGCATAACGGACTGACCCCATTACCGGTTTTCGCTTTTCACAATTTGGTTTTGATCGTTTAATATATGGCTATTTTAGAAGATGTGACGGAAGACGGACTAACGGAAGCCACAGAATTTTATATATAGAATTCAAGTTCAAGCTGGACTGAAGTTTATTCTTCCCAAGTTTTTTTACCTCCTTCTTTGTTGGTAATTTAAGACAATTTAAGTGAATTAGGATTTAGAGATCACGTGTGGAGTATAATAATAAAAGTGATGATAGTATAAGGATTCCATTGAAAATTTATAAGTTTTCTTTTTATCGATAGCAAAATTGACAAAACCGATTTTTCTTTTAAGACTGGCGTTGATTTGTTGTCTTCTCTTGAATTTAAATCCGTGAAGACTTTATCGTCACTTTATAACCGTAGCTAATATGATGGAGCTTGATTTGTAGCCAGTAACTCACTTTCAGTTGATATCCTTCGTATATATACATATATATATATATATATGTGATAGAATCCTTTTTGTATCTTATCTCAAAGCGCTCGGGATGAAACGTGGGCAATATATTGACTGTAGAGAAACTAACAAAGAAGTCGATATTACTTCCCCGTAGGTTTACTCTTGGCAAAGCCGAAAAATTCCCTGGAGGGCCATACCAGGGGAAAATTGCACTTCAGCTAGACTGAAATTGGCAATTTAATACCAAATCGACTCTACTTCAGATATATCCACTGATGTAGTTATAAGAAATTCGAAATGAAGCAAAAGGTTAAGACAAGAAAGAAACGAACAAAGAGTTCAGAGACATAAAAACATATATATTCACACCTACGTTTTCACATCAGAGCACACACGCACACATGCACACACGCACGCACATAGGTCTTACAGTTTGAAATACGGGGCCCCGTACAATCACCGAAGTTAAGCAACGTCGAGCATGGTCAGTACCTAAATGGGTGACCGTTTTGGAATGCCAGGTGATGTTAAGCTTGGATGTAATGGATAATGGCTCAGAGTTGTTAATCGGAAAGTCGAGTTCCAATACCCGTTTTGTTCGTTAAATTCACTTGCGCGTAAATACTCTTGAGAAAGGTATGAATCCACCTATTCTCCTCCCATCTGTGGGTTAATTAGTAAGAATTGCATCATTAAGTCATTATTATGTTTTCTCCCAGCCCCTTAAGTATTCTTAAAATCTAAAAATATTTCCTGGTTTTAAATAACCTCAAAAAGGTTGATAAGCCGTAGAAAACGAATCACTCAATCACACACACACACACACACACACACATATATATATATACATATATATATATATATATATATATATATATATATATATATATATATATATATATACAAGTATGTGGATCATAGTGGGTGTGCTTTATTATAAAGATTATCGGTGCGGAAAAGGAAATCGCTGTACGGAGTTCAAATTCCGACTGATTCTGTTTCATTCACTTCGCGCTAATATATTTTTTAAATCATTTCAAGGCGATAAAGCCACTAAGACGCAAGGGGGGGTCATAAAGGATGAAAGAAAACCGAGTAAAAGTAACTGAGAAAAACGCTACTGAGGAAAAGAACAATAAAAAGAACAGGATTCAGGGAGACAAAAGATGACGAATGACATTGCATTTAAATTGTTGAAGATCGTAGTTGACACGAAAGCAAGAAGCTTGAAGAGAGTTCCACAGATGAAAAGTGCGAAAAAAAAATTAAAACAGAACTTACGGTTACAACTAGGAATTTCAACAGTAAAATGATGAGACCTATCTGCCAATCGAGTCCTACGCTTAAATTCATGAAGTTGAGGTACCAAAAAGGAAAGCTCATCACAATTATTGCCATGAAAATATTTGCAGAATAGGCACAGGTAAGCTGCGTTACGGTGGTGTAAAAGTGATTAAAATCGTGATACCAGGTTAGGATCGATAATATTGCAGATTATTCTTTGGATTTTGTCCATAATCTTAAGATCCATAGCAGAAGCCCTTCAACGAGTATGAATTCCTCAGCCATGGGTCAAATAACAGAGCAGACCAACCTCTTTTGCCTTTGATGGCAGCAATTCTAAGAAAAAAAAACTCTGAATTCAAACCTAAGGCGGCCTGTTTGGAAATTTAGTGACGTACCATTTTTCTGTTATCATTTCTTCCTAAAAATGTGATTGGTTCGACACAAGCCTTCACCATTGTAGTGATTTTCTGAGGGTAGTTTAGATGTGGCACAAGACCGAAAGTATGTGGCACCAAGAAGATTTCAACATCATGAATAGATTATTTGTCGCTAGTCGAGCGGACTGGTTATAAAATGAAATTGGTGTCTCGAAAATCGACATTAGTGTCTGTTAATCGAGCACCGTACACTTAAAAGTGGGTGGAAATATTTACGTACGAAATGATACTTCTACTATGGATTAAAATATCTGTGTACTCTGACTCAGATTGAAATGTTGCTCCTTTGTCCTAAGATTAGGATCAGAGTGTAGTATCTGTGCACTCGGTGAAAAGTGTTACAGGTACTATAGCCGAAGCATATTTCGAATTGTAGGAAGGCACTTACAGTACCCAGAATTCACGCGCCGTACCCCATTCAAGTACGGATTGGGCTTAACTTCGGTGAACAAACGAGATTAGGGTATTTTCAGTGTGGTCTAACCGTAAGCATGATGTAAATAATTAAGGCTAAAAACAACTATTTATTTTTCAACATAATATCCTTTCTTGTAAATGCACATAATCCACACGTATGGAACATTATATGCATAGTGAAAAGTCAAGACAAAATTTACGGTAATAACTACGCACTACTTTATGAAAATAACAATAGGCCACACACACGTACATACACACATACATACACACGAGTGAGAACACACTCACACGCACAAGCACATATACTTATACACTCACTATTTTCAAGAAAAATGTTCAGACAAGCTACATTCCTCAGATTCATCAGTTCAGACCTTTACAGTTACGACCAGCTATGGCCTGTCCACAGAACCGAATCATCGTCATTCCATTCGTATTCCGTTTGTAAGGAGGAAGTTACACTTAGCTTCCTCTCCTTATAATCTGTGGAACAAACTTTCGACGGTTTTAACCTCTTCAAATTCTAGGGACAACCGTTATCTATCCTACATATCCTCATAATCTGCACTTCTTACCTATTACTCTTACGTTCATTCAACAACTCCATTCAGTAAAGCTCTACTTTGAGTGGCTCAACCTCTTCAAGTCTAGGGTTAACCGTTATCTTTCTTACATATCATCATGATATGCACTACTTAATTCATAGCTTTACACCCTTACAACAGCGTTATTTAGTAGCCTCTACCTTGAATACCTCTTGTGCCTTGCATTAAGTGAACAATAGCTTAAAAAACATATATATATATATATATGGCTTGCAAAAAACAACTTGAATGAGGCCGTTTGACCAACACAAGGGCCGACCAAAATTAACAATAAAAAAGAAATGAAAACTATAGCTGAAGTTCACTTTCTTTACAAATAGTCATTCACTCTTATACTTCACTGTTACTAACAAGCATAATTTTTCTCTCCTGAAATTTTTTTTCTCCTGATGATGGCCAGACTGGCCGAAACTAGTCGAGGAACCTAAATGAAATAATAAAACAAAAAATATTAATATGCAACCAAGTGTGTTTGAAAATCTTAATTTTTTAATGGTTTTTATTGTTCAAAACACACACACACACACACACACACACACACACACACACACACATACATATATATATATATCTATATTATAGGATATTACATCAGAACATGTTAAAAACGCTACACAAATGCAATCACTTTTCGATGCGTATTAACACATCTCATCAGGCGTTAGTAAATAACTGGTGAATAGACAATTTATCGAGATTTAAAAACAAGATGCACCCTCTTTTCACGAAAAAGGAAGAAAAAGAAAAAAAGAGTAAGAAAGAATGACACAAGATGCACTCACTTTTCATGAGACAAGAAAGAAAAAGAAAAAGAGTAAGAAAGAAAGACACAAGATAAACCATGTTTTCACGAGAAAAAGGAAGAAAAAGAAAAAGAGTAAGAAAGAAAGACACCAGATATATCCTCTTTTCACGAGAAAAAGGAAGAAAAAGAAAAAGAGTAAGAAAGAAAGACCCAAGATATATCCTCTTTTCACGAGAAAAAGGAAAAAAAAGAAAAAGAGTAAGAAAGAAAGACCCAAGATATATCCTCTTTTCATGAGAAAAAGGAAGAAAAAGAAAAAGAGTAAGAAAGAAAGACCCCAGATATATCCTCTTTTCACGAGAAAAAGGAAGAAAAAGAAAAAGAGTAAGAAAGAAAGACCCAAGATATATCCTCTTTTCACGAGAAAAAGGAAGAAAAAGAAAAAGAGTAAGAAAGAAAGACCCAAGATATATCCTCTTTTCACGAGAAAAAGGAAGAAAAAGAAAAAGAGTAAGAAAGAAAAAAAAAGAGGTGATTGTTGTAAGGTTTGTTTTGTTTTTACTCAGATCAACCAATCGAAATGACAAAGATATTGCTTTACTTTTGTCTTTTAAATTGAATGTTACTAACGTCGGAATTGGACTCATTCATTCTCATTTTTTTGCATATATATATATATATATATATATATATATATATATATATATATATATATATATATGTCAAAATAAAAATTATTTGACAAGGTACTTAATTTTTTTACTGCGTTTTTCTTGTGTGCGGACAAGAGATTTTTGAGAGACTTGCGTGTGCAGTAATGTACTGACCGTATTTGGGAGCAAAAAATATGGCGAACTGTCCATTAGCTAACGCACACTCTAACGCTTCTTATAACAGCACATCAAAATTTTTGAAAAAGGCTAATAGATCCGGTGAGAGCGCTCAGAACCAACAGTCACTGAAACAATTTCAGCACGCATGAACTGAAGAAGTCCAAGAGGAAACATTTGGGATAATACTACACAAAAAAGAAAATGCTTAAATATCGAAAAACATAAGGAAACTTAATTCCTTTGAATAATATGTGGAAATATCCACTCTTTGCCTGATGAAGATCGCGAGACCGTAAACACGTGTAGCAAAAATATGGAAAATAAAGTATAATATATATTTTAAAAATTACACATTATAATGAAAAGCGTTTGCAGTTTCTCTCTTTTTTTAATATATATATATTTCATATGTTTAATATATATATATATAAATATTTCATATGTTTCATCCTCAAGCGAAAATTTATGAACCTTCTAAATTTTCGCTTGAGGATGAAACAGGGCTTGATACTTCAATTCAATTTAATTTCAATAATTATATTGAGGTTTTTGGCTCTTGTTTTTGAAACATGAGAACTCTTATATAGCGAAGGAATCATATTTTTTTTAAAATAATTATATATATATATATATATATATATTTTGAACAATAAAAAATATTAAAAAATTAAAATCTTCAGACACACACTGGATTGTAGATTAATATTCTTTCGTTTTTTTTAATTATTATTTCATTTAGATTCCTCGACTAGTTTCGCCCAAAATGGCCATCATCGGGAGAAGAAATATTTCTGCTTGCTGGTAGCAGTAAACTACAGAAATATATATATATATATATATATATATATATATATATATATATATATATATATATATATATATAAGTATTTAGGCAGTAAAGATGCATCCAAACCGGTTTTATTAAAAACACCGACGAGGACTGTCAATTTAACTTTTTATATTGTCTTTCCTACCTAATATTTTTCTTGCCTATAGAGATTAGCTTTGGAAATCGGATAAAAGTTTTCGCGCCAAATGTTAATTTACTATTGGACTTTATCCAGGCGAATCATTTTCTTTTGGTATTTTTACAGATACATCACATGCACACAAAACCGTACTCATATATACATGTTTATCTATAAACTCATGTACAAACTCAACCAATGTTTATCTATAGACTCAATTATGACCCTCAACT